TTCCCTTCTTTCCTCAGCTATTTGTAAAGCTGAGGAAAGAAGGGAAGTGAAAGGCAAGGGAGAAAGAGAAAGATACACCCAATTGAATGCAGAATTCCAGAGAAAAGCTAGAAGAGATAAGAATGCCTTCTTAAATGAACAGTGCAAAGAAATAGAAGAAAACAATAGACTAAGGAGGACCAGAGATCTCTTCAAGAAAATTGGAGATATGAAGGAAATGTTTCATGCAAAGAACCATGGAGCCAACTGGGTGACTTTGGGCCAGTCACAGACTCTCAGCCCAACCTACCTCATAGTGTTGTTGTGGGGATAAGTTGGAGGAGGAGATGTAAGCTGCCTTGAGCCCTTTTTAGGAAAAGGCAAGATATAAATCAAATAAATAAATAACGATGGGCATGATAAAGGACCAAAATGGCAGGGACCTAACAGAGGCAGAAGAGATTAAGAAGAGGTGGCAAGATTACACAGAAGAACTATACAAGAAAGAGCTTAACGTCCCTGATAACCATGATGGGGTGGTCACTGACCTCAAGCCAGACATCCTGGAATGTGAAGTCAAATGGGCCTTAGGAAGTCTGAGCGACAACAAAGCTAGTGGAGGTGACAGTATTCCAGCTGAGCTATTCAAAATCTCAAAAGACGATACAGTAAAAGTGCTACACTCAATATGTCAGCAAATTTGGAAAACTCAACAATGGCCACAGGATTGGAAAAGGTCAGTTTACCTTCTGATCCCGAAGAAGGGCAATGCCAAAGAATGTTCAAACTACTGCACCATTGCACTCATTTCACATGCGAGCAAAATTATGCTCAAAATCCTACAAGCTAGGCTCTAGAAGTATGTGGACTGAGAACTACCAGAAGTACAGGCAGGGTTTCGAAGAGGGAGAGGAACTAGAGATCAAATTGCCAACATTCGCTGGCTCATGGAGAAAGCTAGGCAGTTCCAGAAAAACAGCTACTTCTACTTCATTGACTATGCTAAAGCCTTTGATTGTGTGGATCACAACAAATTGTGGCAAGTTCTTAAAGAGATGGGAGTACCAGACCTTATTTGTCTCTTGAGAATCCTATATGCGGGTCAAGAAGCAACAGTGAGAACTGGATATGGAACCACTTATTGATTCAAAATTGAGAAAGGAGTTCAGCAAGGCTGTATACTGTCGCCCTGCCTTTTTAACACATATGCAGAACACATCATGAGAAAGGTGGGGCTAGATGAATCACAAGTTGGAATTAAGATTGCCTGGAGAAATATCAACAACCTCAGATATGCACATGATACCACTCTAATGGCAGAAAGTGAAGAAGAACTAAAGAGCCTCTTGATGCGGGTGAAGGAGGAGAGCGCAAAAGTTGGCTTGAAACTCAACATTAAGAAAACTAAGATCATGGCATCTGATCCTATCAGCTCCTGGTAAATAGTTAGGGAAGAAAGGGAGGTAGTGACAGATTTTATTTTCCTGGGCTCCAAGATCACCGCAGATGGGGACTGCAGTCAATAAATTAAAAGATGCTTGCTCTTAGGGAGGAAAGCTATGGCAAATCTAGACAGCATACTAAAAAGCAGAGACATCACGCTGCCAACAAAAGTGCTTATAGTCAAGGCTATGGTTTTCCCAGTTGCAATGTATGGCTGTGAAAGTTGGACCATAAAGAAGGCTGAGCACTGAAGAATTGAGGCCTTTGAATTGTGGTGCTGGAGGATACTCCTACAAGTCCCTTGGACTGCAAGGCGAAAAAACCCATCAGTCCTAGAGGAGATCAACCCTGACTGCTCTTTAGAAGGCCAGATGCTGAAGATGAAACTCAAATACTTTGGCCACCTAATGAGAAGGAAGGACTCCCTGGAGAAGAGCCTAATGCTGGGAACAATAGACGGCAAAAGAAGAAGGGGACGGCAGAGAATGAGGTGGCTAGATGGAGTCACTGAAGCAGTTGGTGTGAGCTTAAGTGGACTCTGGGGGATGTTGGAGGACAGGAAGGCCTGGAGGAATGTTGTCCATGGGGTCGCAATGGGTCGGACATGACTTCACAACTAACAACAACACAACAACATTAAATTTTGTTATAATTACTGAAAAGAACTCCAGAGGGATCCAATCAAAAGAGTAGATTAGACCATAGTGCACTGGCAGATCATACTGCCTGCCTAGAGATGTAAGTAGAGGTGAAATTTACCAAGATAGGTGAACCTGAAATTCGCATGAACCTTGCCAAGCCTTATTGGACAATAGTACACTGGTAGTTATGCATCACAGATTATGTTAGCAACACTACTTATCCTACCTACTTCATACTCTGATTATTAAGATAAAAGGAATACTCATTTGATGGTTACAATGAAGTGACTTTCTTATGAAAGAAAGCATTGCTAAGTATTGTTGCACTGTGTCATTGTTGCTTTCATTGATTTGCTCTCCACCCAGTAGATAAACCTCACATAATGCTAGTTTTAATCCTCAATTCTTACATCACCACTGTTAATAATACAATAATACCTTAATTAATACTTGTAGTTCTAGGCCAGAGTGTCTTGGTATGGACAATCATTTGTTTTGAAATACTGTACCATTTCTAAATGTTGAAGAGGTGGATGTGAAGAAATTAGTTTACTGAAGCACTTTCCCACATACCACCATCACCCAAGCCTCTGCTTGGTTTGTTGGAAACCTTATTTGTATCACCTTCTTTATGTTGAAACAATACTCCTCTGGTTCAAGTTAGTACTGTCAAACAGCCAAGAGAATGTACTGCATTGAATATAAGGGGACTTCTCTTAATTTTGGATTAAGATTTAACTTCATTGAACTTCATGTTCATTGAATCTTCAGTGACTTGTAGGATCACTACAGCCATACAAGCCATGTGGTTTAACCAAGGCATATGCTAGTCTTAATTTGACCCACTGCCCACCCAGATGCAGCTTGACATGATGTTTGTAGCCCACTAACTTGTTGTTGGGTTGTAACTTATTGAAGAGTTGCTTGTACCACAAAAAGCCATGTCATCCAGGTTTGGACAAAATGGCAAGTAGCCCCTGGGCCAGTAATAAGGTAAGCAGTGCCCGTTGTGTATCAGCACACAATGTAGTTTGTTTAAGTCGTGCTGATCATGCAAACCAGGGCATATGTATGGCACTAGTTCTCAAACTTTGATTTCTGGATGAGGGCCGTGAGGCCATGAGATTTGGCTTGCACTCCTGCTGGCTCCTTGGGTGGTCCTTAAGCATTATTTCTACCTGCTGTTCCTTCCTTTGGCATATGTTTGAGCATGGCTGCCAGAGGCAGCACCTGGCATTAAGTGAGCCCATGGCACTGTGCTTTGGGATGCTTGAGGGTTGCAGGTATCTTTTTAAAAAATATTTTCCCTAAAAAAATGTTTATTTTTAAGCTGGCTTAACTCAGAAGCAGTGCAAATTAAATCTCCTTTGTAAAAATGATCCGGTGATCCTCTCTAAATACTGTCTCCTGACCTCCATTGGGTCTACTAAACTTTTCTATGAAATTTTGGCTTTAAGACCCACTTAGAAAAGTTTGCTGAAATGATTGGTCAGGGTAATTGCATGACAAACAAGGAACCATCAGTGATAGTCACAGAGAAATAAAGCTGCATTTTAGCATTTTCTTTGGGCAAATCATCCTCCCATCTGCAGAACCGCCCCCCTCTGCACCAGAGCCTCATGTGGATGTCCTTGCAGAAGAGAAAAGCTTGTTGGACCCCAAAGCAGCTAATATAAGCAGCTAATATACAGACTCAAAACACTCAAAACTCATTCAGGGCTCTAAGATTGGTCAAAGTCATGATAATGGGGTCCCCAGGAGGAGGAACCTGGGGAAAATCCAATTCATGTTTAATCAAAGTTGCGGAGCAGGGTCTGGTGAACTGTCATTGTATAGAGCAAATGTCTGCAACAGGTAAAAGAGGTACATTTTAGATCACCATGAACAGTGTTAGGTAATATTTGGGATGCGGAAATGGAAGGCAAACTGTTGAAGCAGGATCAACACCCCACCATGTATGTAAGAAACCCAAAAGATCTTTAGCCCACAATTCAAAATGATTCAGGATTCCAACTCACAGGCAGATTTCATTGGTCTAGTCTAGAGGAGCAATCAGTTGCACATCAAGGACCCCCATTGCAGAATAGAGATCAGTCATAATGAGAAGCCTGTTCAAATGTGGTTATACCCAAGGTTTACTCAATTCATAGAAATAAGTTTGGGCTGGAGGCAAGTCTTAAGAACCTCATTTACCTGGATATGATAGAAGTAAGTTAACAAGCCCATAAAGCAGGCTGCATTGCATTGCTCTCACTCTGGGTACCATCCCCTATCTACAGGAGCAAATGAAATTTAGGATTATTTTTCAGAGGAAAAAAAGGTGAAGCATTTGGTGAAGCATTTCCAAGACTTGACTACCCCTAAGGAAAAGGAGCTCCTATTTAAATGCTGTTGCTTCCAGGAACTACTAGGGCACAGGACAAACAACTTACCTCTTTTACCTCTTTTCAAGCTGCATTTGGATGGAAGTTCTGCTGCCTTGGAAAAACTATTGCCCTCACTAAGCTCCTTTTTAGCATGGCTTAAGCCTTTGCCTCTTAAGACACAGGTACTCTCCAATGAGGGCTTCCTTAGTCTGCAAGACTATCTGTTCACTCTTGTGAGAGATAAGAGGGTTGTCTTTATTTCACCAATGGTTCTCTCTCACACAGGGGTAACCCCTTCCTTGGATATTTGCCCCATTCTTCTATCTCCTATTTCTTTAAACTGCTAAGTGCTTGATGGATTCAAAAAATATTCCTGGACTTAGAGATACTGACTTGGAATCTTTCTGGATGGCATGGCCAGATAGCAAAGTTCATTGCATATCTACAATTATTTCAGATAATTTTCTTACAAGGAAGTAGGTGGAGGAAGTTTCCTGTCTGCAGTTACAGGGTTACTGGGTGTCCTTTAAAGCTGTTGCAAGATGCCACAAACAGGCCACTGATGCAGGGGGTTGGCAGTGTTTGGTTCTGTAGAATAGGGAAGTAGTTGCCATACAACAGAACTGCAGTTGCACAACAACATCTTGATGTTACAGGTTACCATTTTTATAGTGCAATAGTGCCTCCTTTTCTACATTAATGTTTCTGTTCCATCGGAGAACTCATTATTGTTTCCCCCAGATGTGTGGCTGTCTTTGGAATCTGCCTTGGGAAATCATGAGTGGCATCATTCTTGCATTATTTTGGGAGGTGACTGAAATGCTCAGCTAGGACAAACTAATTCACAGCAGCTTATTAATTTGGTCTTTGCCTGGATGATTTATTCTGTCTGAACAAGCATTCTCAAGAAATGAAGGTTAATAGCTTTGGTTGTGTTCTTGTTATGTGGGATTGTGTTTCCTATTAATTTTGAGTGGGAGTTGGAAGGATGTATCGGTTAAACATCATACATTTCTCTCTCCTGGGCTATTTTTCATTTCTCCAAATCTAATTCCAAGATGAAAAGTTTCTCAGTTGAAGATCAGCTAGAGAGTGGCCTTTTTTCTATCAAGCTTTGGCAGTTAATTCAGAATGAATGTACATGTTGATTTGAAAAGGTGACTGCTGGCATAAATAGCAGACTGGCTTACTGATTTTACTGGAACTGATAAATCAAATTTCAATGGGCCATTTGGAGAAGTTGGAGGGCTATCAGAAATTGTAAATTTCCAGCCCTCCATTCAAGCAGAGAGAGCTGGTATGACAGGGAATGTAGAAACATGAAAAAAGAATATACACCGATTACCCAGTCTGAAGCACTTCAGATCAAAAAAGTGTTGTAACATTTTGATTACAGTGCATTCGTCTTATAAATCTCCAACAAAGATGACTGAGTATATTATGGCAAAAACACCTTAAAATATTTTCCAGGGGCCCATCCTTGTTAAGGTTAATCACTTTTGTGGAGATCATCCTGAATGGCTACCAGTCTCAGTTTTGGGGTCCAGGCATTTACTTCACAACCTGGTATCTGGAAATTGCTTTTAACCCAGCACACCAGCCTATCAAGATCACCTTGAATCTTCCTTCTGTCTTCCGAGGTATTACCTATCCTAGTTTTGTGTCATCTGTAGATTTGATCAGCATACCCTGCACTGCTGCTCTTTGCCACAGCAAGCAAGTTGACTCTTAGACTCCTTATGCTCTGGCTCTCTACACTTCCTATTTATTTATTTAAAACATTTTTATGCAGCCCCCATCACAACAAAGCCTCGGGGCAGCTCACAACAAAAACAAAATACATAAATATAATGATTATACAAATAAAAATATTAAAACCCGGTGCATCTCAGCTTAAAAGATTTAAAATCCTATAAATACAAATAAATTAACAATTAAAATGAGTTTTAAATAAAAAGGTCTTAGCCTGGCACTGAAAAACAAATAATGACAGCGCCAGGTGGACCTCTCTGGGGAGCGCATTCCATAGATGAAGCCTGGCTCCTAGCCTGGCTCCTGCCTGCCCTGCCCTGCCCGCCCACCTGACTGACTGCCCTGACTGCCTTTTACCTTGTTGCAGCCCACCCTGCTTTCCCAGGAACTTGCATCCTTCCTCCTCAACCCTGCCTGCTCTAGAACATGACTGCCTTACTGGTACTTCACCTTCAGATAGTTTCCTTGGCTTGTGATCTTGGACTGTGTTATTGGATTGTGCTGTCTCACTGGCTTTCACTCTGAACTTTTAAACCAACACATTTCTTGCTTCTGGCCCTGCTGCAAAAATCCAACTTGCACCTTGTGCCCTGACATTCCAGTGTTGATAGCTTGCCACACACACCCTGGAATTTACACAGTTGTTCTGAGAGTAGTTCTGCCAGTTCCTTTATTACTCTAGGATGCAGTTCATCTGGCCCTGTAAATCTGAAGTCCTTCAAAGAAATTAGGTATTCCATGACCATTTGTCATGGACCATGACCATCTCAAGCTTTAATCTTGACCTTTTGGTTTGTACTTCATATTTCCCAGGGGTCAGGGGTAGGGGCAGGTCATAGATATGCTTTTAAGAAAAAACTGAACCAAAGTAGAAATTGAGCACTTCAACATTTTCTTTGTCATCTTACCAGTTTGCCCTCATCCTTTTGAATGGTTGAACCATCATTTCTTTTCTCTGTCATTTACTCTAAACCTACCTGCAAAAAATACTTTTCTAGTCTCAGCTCATTCTGCACTTCTGTGCTACCTGTCTGTACTCTTCTTTTGTCTCATGCCCTTCCTTCTACTTCCTATACAAGTCTTTTTTTGTTTTTAGCTCAACTTGAAGTTTTTATGGCACCACATTGGTTTCTTCTGTCATCAGCTATCTTTCATTTTTGTTGGAATTGTTTGTAATTGTGCCTTTAAAATTTCCTTTTTAAAAAACTCTCACCCATCTTGGACTCCTTTTTTACTTAGGGTCACTTGCCATGGAAGCTTACTTATCATTGTCCTGAGTTTATTAAGATCAGCTTTCCCAAAATTCAGAATACATGTATGGCTATACTCCATTTTTGCTTCCTGTAAAAGAAACTATGTTGTAGTCACTTTCCCTCAAAGTTTTTGTAGCTTCCACTTTATCTACTAAGTCATTCCTATTAGTGAGTATAAGTCAATGATAGCCAGATCTCTAGTTCCTTCCTCCACTTTCTGTAAATGCAAGTTAGCTGCCATGCATGAAGGGAATGTCTTGGAGGGGCCACTTTTAGTGGAGTTTGACTCCCCACTGATATTGGAATAATTTATGTCACCCATCACTACTACATCGCATTTCCTTGGAATACTGGCAATTTGCTTAAGAAAAGTGTCATCCTCATTGTCTCTTTTCTTGGACGGTTGGTAGTAGACTCCATCTATCACATTCCTTTTATTCCTTGGCACATTAATTTGGCCCAGATGCTCTTGATTGGGGTACCAGGCTCATCTTCCTATATTTCTGTGCAAGGATAAGTATTTTTAACATATAAGTCAACTCCATCTCCTTGCCTTGCCTTGCCTTGTTGCTCTTTTTGAACAGCTTATACTCTTCAATTGCTATATTCCAATCAAGGGAGTCATCCCTCCAAGTTTCAGTAATACCTCTCAAGTCATATTTGCCTTCATGTATTAAGAGTTCTGAAACTCAAATACTTTGGCCACCTAATGAGAAGGAAGGACTCATGCTGGGAACAATAGAGGACAAAAGAAGGGGACAGCAGAGAATGAGGTGGCTAGATGGAATCACTGAAGCAGTTGGAGTGAGCTTAGGTGGACTCTGGGGGATGGTGGAGGACAGGAAGGCCTGGAGGAATGTTGTCCATGGGGTCGTAATGGGTCGGATGCAACTTCACGACTAGCAACAACAGCAGCATTAAGAGTTGAGGTTCATTCTGTTTATTTCCCATACGTTGGGAATTAGTGTATTGACACTGACGTCCATGTGTTTTATGATCTGGCTTATTTCCAACATTATTGAGAGGACTGCTTGGGGAGTCCCAATATTCATTCAACTGGAATATTTTTCTTTTCTTTTCTATTCTATTCCTCTCCCAAAAACTGGGGGGATGGATGAGAAGACTATCTGGCCCCAAAGTTCTTGAGTTTCCTTCCCAGGGCTTCGGTCA